TGAGATTGGACCTTGTTTGCCTTTGTGCAACCCAAGCCTAGCTGGTCCAGATACCCCAGGTTAGCTGGTCTATGTACCCCAGGCTAGCTGGTCTATGTAACCCAAGCTAGCTAGCAGGTCTATGTACTCTAGGCCAGCAGGTCTTCATCCTTGGGCTAGCTGGCTTATAAACTTCCTGGGGTATCCTGCCTTAACCCTTTCCTATTTTATTGTAAGAGTTCTGGGATTACAGATGCATGCTCCTACATCTGGCTTTATGTGGGTCCAGATCCCAACACTCACACGACAAGTGCTTTACCCAGGAGGCATCTCCCCAAGCTGAACCACATTTCTCTTCCCTCAAGCTTAAGGTCAAGCAAAGTTAATTAGCACATCTCTACACAGAAAGCAAGCCACTACAGCAGGCCTCCTGACACAGAAAGGAGATCTCCAGGCCGTGCCTGGAGAAATGCTGAGTTGTATGAGTGAGAGCATGAATGAGTGGAAAGCTATGTACCTGACATCAGCCAGCCCAGCCCAAAGCCTTATATGTCGGAAAGCAAAATGTCAAATGTTTTCAGAAAAAAAAAAAAAAACCAAAAAACAAAAAAACAGTCGAATGCCATGAGCTTGTAATGTATATTTTATTTTGCACAAGCTTGCATATATACTGCACATACATTCAGTTTAGGAGAAGATGGAAGGCACACAAGGCAGTTGGACTACTGCACCCTTTAGTGGTACAAAGCAAACGGTCAAAGTTCGGAGAATATAGAAAAGCTTAAAACACACAACGGAAACCCTCCCGGCCCCCCCCCCCCCCCACCATTGGCCTTTATGGTTTTTTTTTCCTCATTTTAAAATTTAGTAGCTGCCAAACTAAATTGTTTTACTTTTTACTTTAAGATCAATTGTCCACGGCACCTTTTTGTTTTCTTTTGAATATGGACAGGGAGTCTCACTGTCTTTAAACCTATCAATTAATATTACAGTACACCCTTGGTAATACAAAATTGTACACCTTCATCAAATAAATTAGGATAAATTAAACCAATAAATTATGCAGTCTTCAGAACAATAGACAATAACAAAAATGCACAATTGAAATTGCCTCTAGCTAAAAAAAAAAATCAAAAATTGACTTTATCAGTTCAGTTATTGTACTATATTCAAATCATAGGGTCTTTATTACAAAAAAAGAGCTTCATAATGCTATTTACAACGTATTGCTAAATAATATAAAGGCAGTGTTTGTCACGGTTTATACTATATACAGATGAGAAATGGCTGGGACAATGTTGGGGGAAGCTGTGACCTTTGACCCTTCTAGAGAGCTGAGAACAACTCCAAATACATCAATTTTTCCTAAATTTGAAGTGGCAATATACAACTTTAAAATGCTTTATTCCTCCACCCCCCCATATGCACAGGAATTGGCTATTAAAAAAAAATCTGGTTAATCCATTTTCACAAAGACAGGCCAACCCTTTGCCTGCTCGTTCATGCGTCTGCACATTAGGGGTGTCTGATTGGAGAGAGCGCTCACTTGAAAAGACTCAAAGTCCACAGGCTTCCACTTAGTCTCAGAGGGATCATTCAAAAGGATGCAAAGGTTAAACACCAGGTTTGGAACCCAGCTCTGGAGAGGAGCATTTTAGCTCTACAGAGGCAAAGCTGAGCTTCCTCGCGTGTAAGCGTGACGCAGTGACACAAACCAACCGTTACACTTTCCGAGGGGAGCCTTTGAAAGCCACAGAGTAATCTGCAGACACGGAGTTTACACCAGGAGGAAACAGTTGTGCTGTTCACCCCAATGAATTATACACACGGCAAAGAGATTGTTCACGCCCTTACACACACTGCTGCTTTGGGGGAGTATCTGAAAACCACTCTTGTTTTGATTAATTTATGGTTGCTTTTGGGGAGCAGTCTATGGTTAACTCCCCTTCGCCAAAATCTTTAACTAAGTGACTGATATTAATCTGTATGTGTGTGGGGACATGGGGGATTACCTACTAAATGTCTTCATGTACACAGAAAAAAAATGTCATAGATTTACAGAGACGCCTGTACCCTTGCCCTTGACCTCTGATAGAGAGAGACTGTTATCTTTTGCCAAGTGGAGAGCAGGACTTTAGAGAATCTTTTCAACTGCCTGTACAGTCACTGTAGTGTCCCTAATAAATTCAACAGATGCTGTGAGGGTGGGGCTATTTATTAAGACCTCATGTCTAACGTAACAACGGCCACGAGGTTAAATATTTACATTTCCTTATAAAGGCTCCCCTTTGCTTTAGTGTTTTTCTTTTGATGTTTTTAGTATTTTTTAAAATGATATTCACCCATATTCCTAGCACAGTAACAAGGATTCTTCAAACATAAAGTATTTCAGTTAAGTAACACTCAGAGGCACAAAGCAAACTTCAGGAATATGGGGTGAACGTTCACTGAAATAATTACTAGATCCTAACATCTTCCACGTAATTTTACCATTTAATGCAAAACACCTCCATTGAACAGCCAGAGAGACAGTAAGAAGTAAGTGTTGTGTTGTTGCAAATAGAACATTCTTTTCACAAAACATAACAAATGCTTAAAATAAGTTCTTAAGTCTAGATAAGAAAAGGTAAGCTTTCCACTTCACACGCATACATATGTATATTTTTACATGTGTGTGCCTGTGTGCTCACGCCCACACTTCTGCACACACATTGCACGTGGTATGAAATATTGCTTCTATAGTGCTTCTCATTAGGCTAATAATACACAAGCGCTACACCACAGTTACAAAAAAACCGGCTTCTACAAGAATCTCCAAAACTCGAATGCTGCTCAGACAATTGAGGAAAAAAAATAATTTGCGGTGTATCAAACTGTTCTAAAAATTTCTCTTCTTCAAAAACATTATTCTCCCGCTTTGTTTTAAAAAGACGCAAAATATGCATAGCTATCAACATCATGTCAAACAGCCAGGAAAAAAAAAATTAGTGTTTATTGCAGCTGTCGTTGGAAATAAAGTAAAAAGAAATGAGACAGAAAGCCACAGAAGGCACAAGAACATTTGTACTTGTGTGGGGGGGGGGAAAGAACTGGTATTTTGAAGGATTTTTCTTTTAAAATCCCCACGCTGGTGTAGTTTAGATCTAGGCACAGACTATCACCTTGAGTGTACACACAAAAACTAATACAGGGTTAGCATAAAAGTGGCCATGTGGAATTGCAACACAGACTTTAGAACCGGTCCCCATGTGAAAAGTTAACTTTCTCCCGTGCACAAAATAATTTTCACTTGGACAGAGCTGGATTAAGATGTGAACAATACTAGGTAATTTAATTCTTATTTATTTATTTAGTGGTTTTTGTTTTATTTAAGAACTGCTTGGTAGGAGTATTGAGAGACAGGCTTCTGTCATTTACCATCTCACTGGGAGACATGCGGTCCTGCTGCTGGATCAGGAGCAACCACCTTAGTGCAAAGCCGTGGAGACCTGCTTCTGGCATTGAGCTGTCTGTCTGTCCTCATGCTGACAGAGTGAGATCATTTCCAGCCTCAGGGAACACCAAGAGGAGAGTCTAGGTAGCTAAGGGCACTGACATTCAGTAGAAAACACTTATTTTTCTTTTGCTAAATGTGTCTATTTAAATCAGAAAGGCAGAGGAAAACAATAATTTAAAAATCAAGATAAGTCTAGAATCAATATCCATTTGCCCCAGATTATGAAGATATCTAGCAGTCTGTCTACCCAGGTGACTACACTGCAGCTTTGCCTTTGACCTTGCAAAGGGTGACATGGTGGAGATCTGATTGGCATGTGACTCAGAACAGCCAGGACCCTGCTGGACCCATGCAGGAACCACAGAGCCCCAGGCTTCCAAACAAAGCATACCAAAGACTTCCATACTTTGTACTGATTGGGTTCCTGGTTCTGCTATTTAATTTGTAACATATATCTCACTGGTATCATTGACTACCTGGGCTTTTTTGCTTTAAAGGCAGCCAGAAAAATAACAAACATACTCTCACAATTGTCTATTCAGGAATGGATGTGTGAGCATTAGGAGATGCCACTGTAGTGAGTGGACAGCGTTGAACATGCTAATCCATGCTCTGTCTGTATCGCCGGGGCGTTCTGGTCTCCCGGAAGATGCTGGGCCTTGCAGGGCTTCACTGTTTAGTTTGAAGTCAGCAGGTTTTAAGGCTTTGTGCTGACAATAATTGTGTTCATACATCCCTGCCCATCAGCAGAATTTATAAATGATGTTGAATTACAGCGTTGCAGCCAGCTAGACAGTCACAAGGGCTGACCCGAGTCCTCCAAAGTCAAACGCTGATTTTTATTTTTAAGAAATTAAGGGAAAACAGCATTTCTGTCCTTTACGTTTTAAATACCAGATCTGTTGCTGTGTCATTTTTACAGTGTGCACATCAGATTATCTACGGGGATGTAGGGGCCTGGATCACACAGTTAGAGTGGATGGTGCTGTTTACCTCACCAGTACACAAAAATCCAGCTAAGAAAGCAAGCATGAGTGACATTTAGCATTTTAAATGCAAGTGTAGGAGGTGGTACATCATCAAAAACCTGGGGGGTTGGGGAAGAGCCATCTGAGAGTGGGAGAAAGAACAGCTAGCTTTCTCAGTATGCTGGAATTGTGTCTTCTTGGGCAACCCCAAACTAACCTATTGTACACACTTGGGTCAATATTAGCTTCTAGCTTCTATAGTAGAAGAGACATCATCAGCTGCTTTAAGATATTACAACCCAGAGGGAAGAGACAGCCAGCTACCCTCCATACCCAAATGCAAATGAACCATTGCTGGGTGATGTCCTCACAGGAAGTAAAGGTCAGGTCCACTAGCAGCTGCCAGCGTGCTCCAAGAGTAGGCAAAGGTTTCGTGGTCAGTGGGCTTTCTTAATTCCTTACTGCAGAAAGGTATCCAGAAATTAGTGTTTTAGGAGAAGAAAGAGGATTAAACAGCAACAGCAATGCTAAGCATATAAAGAGAGTCAAGCAAAGGATACATTTGAAAAGTACATGCCTTTTAATATCTGAAGCAAAGTAAATAGCAACTAGTGACAAAGCACAGGGTTTCCTCTAAGTCGACACAGCTGAGCTCACATCTCACCAAGAGCCTGTTCTAAAGTTCACAGAGACAGCAGGTCGGCCTGCGTGCATTCCCAGCCTTGTCTCAGGAGAGTCGGGTTTGTACAAAATTGGGTTGGGGGGGGGGGCGGGTGCCACCATTTCTCTTACAAAGGACTTGGTGACGATCTTTCTAAAAAAATCTGTCCTTTGAGAGTACTTTTGAGATGTGAGCTACCCAGATGCCGGGGGCATTGGTTTAAATGTGTAAGAAAAGGTTACTTATCAGGCTCAAATCAAACAAGGTATTCCAGTGTGTGAAGTGCTTTCCTCAGGTTCTTCCAGAACTTCTTAACCCTAGAGAAACAGGAGACACAGCACGGGGTTTGCGTGTGAGCTGTGTCACAGTCACCAGCTCACTCCGTAACTCTTGTACACTTTACACAGGCTGACATTCCCTTCTGAAAACCAACTCTACCTTAAGTCTCCAAATATTAAGGGCCTTGGGCAAAAGTAAACTAAAGGTGTAGAAGGAAAATACCCATCCCCTTGTGATAAGGGAAAATAAAAGGAACCCAAAGAGGATGAGCAGGAACCACCAGCTGACATCACAACGTATCCATGCCTCCCCCACACAAATATATAAAACCAAAATCTAGACACAGAAGTTGGACATCCAAGGGGGACTTCTTCTATCCATACATTCAAAAGAGCGTTGCAATCTCTACTCGTGAAGGAGTTCTTGTAGGCAGTTAGGGGATTTGAAAATCTCGGGAACTTCACTATCCAGCTTGCAGATGACCTTGTAAATGGCCTTCTTCCAGGAAGGATCAACATCTTTGCCCGCGATGATGGCATTGAAAAACTCCCGTAACGTGATCTGCGCAACTTCCAGGAATCTCTCTGGAACCTGCTGATACAAGGAGACAATGGTATTAATAAAGTTTTCAGTTTCAAGTCTGCAGTTCTTCAAAGGAAACTGAGCTAAGTCCACACTCTCAGAAGGGGGCTTTAGACGGCACCTGCATTTTCTAAAAATGGCCGGCCTCTATTCTCTTGTGTGGAGTTGTTATATATAGCAGCATTGTGATAGACGGTGGCTGCTTCGTGGGTTTCAGAGGAGACATGCACAGAGGATATATGGGACTGGTCAACAACATGGTTTTACCGTGGAACGCTGCAGCAGAGAAAAGAGACCACACCCTCACGTGATTAAGCAAGTCCGTTCTAGAAGAAACTTGCCAACTCCTTTTTCAGAATTCGATTCCTCTCTCCTTTTGACTTACATTATGAAAAAAATAATGTGTTCTCAGAATAGAATGATACATGTTGGGATTCTATATAAACTAAATTCCTAACTTCAAGGAAGAGATTTTAATATCGGTTTCCTGTTTGTGTTGTAGAACTGTTGCCTGGATTGTTTATTAAAATGTTTATTAAAACAGTCAGTATTATAAAGGGGTAAGATCACAGCACAAAATCCTGAGCTGTGAAACTTACACTGAACCCTGAATCACTACCTTTTGCCATTAGAATAGTTCCTTAGACAGTGGTTTGTGTAACTGATCATTGTTATAAAAGCTAACACTGAGTGTTTACTGTGTTGGGCATCATGTTACATTATTGCAGAGTTAATGCCATTCCATTCTTCCAACCTCTGGGTAAGGTGTTATTGGATTAATGATACCTCAAAAACATGGAGGCATAGAGAGATCAGAAGGACTCGTTCAAGGCCATTCTACACCAAGATTATCATTCCCCAAATAATCCTTTCGGAATTTCTCTTTGTCAAGCCCTTGCTTCCATAGCAATTATTATATGTGAGCTGCCTGCCTGCCTGCCTGTCGGTCTGTCTGTCATGAGATTTTATTTCTACAATAATTTCAGGTGTATGCAGACACAAATGCATGGTACTGTATGTGTAGACACATCTGTCCTCACAGATATAACATGAAAGACCTTCACTGCAGTCCAGAAATGCCAGTTACTGAAGCAACAGGGAGATTATTGCCCAAGAACAAGTGCAGCACCTTCCTCTCTGCCTCTTCTCAACAGCTGTAGTGGGCATACACATGGATATATGCATGCATATACACATACACATGAATGAACGGTAGGCAACGTAGAAAATTAAAACAATCCCTGGATGTCCCTGAGTTTCTCATTTCTTCCAATAGTTAGCCAATTGTTCTTCAGGGAAATCTAATAACTTTCCAGGAAAAAAAGGGAAAGGAAAGAAAAGGAAAGGGGAAAAGAAAAGAAAGGCAAGGCCCCCAACAGAGTCTAGAACAGGCCTAGTGACCCTCATCTTCAACAACTTGGATCTCTGTAAGTTCCAGGTCAGTCAGGGCTACCCTGAGACCCTGTCTCAGAAATAAAGAGGAGGGTATTGAGCAGTCTCTCCCCAAAGCATTTATGTTGGCCTGTGGGGTCAGAGCTCAGAGCTGACTGGAAGTGCAGCAAGGGCCCCTTCTCCCTGGCTGAACAACCACCAGTCTGTGAGAAACCCCACAGACTCCGTGGGAGCACCTGCACACATGTGGATTTCCTGGAGGGAGCATCTTGTTCCCACCCAATGACAAGTCATAGCAAATGGGCCTGACTGAGAGAGACCATGTGGCTGGGCATAGGTCTGCAGCCAAATGCTAACACGGACAAAGATCTGTGGTGCAAACTGTGTGCTCCCTTGCTGGCTGCTGGCAACAGAGCCTCCATGGAGACCCGTCCTCCATCAACAACAAACCCAAAGCTGCAGGAGACAGAGAGCTCTGAAAGACACAGGTGTGAGCCTAGAAAGAGTGGGTAAGCCAGATGCCCCACCCACTCCAAGGACACGCCCAACCCCCACCCCGCCTATCCACACACAGCCGGAGCCAGGGAGAAGGGCCTTGTGGAAGCTGTCAGGAGCACAATTGTCTAGATAACTCTACAACAGCACAAGCTTTTTTTTGGGGGGGGGAGTGGGTGAGGGTAATTTAGGACTTTACTGAGGACAGAGGAACTTGAGGAATTGTGCCAAGTCTCTACTCCAGTTCTCAGAGGCCAAGAGCCTTAGCTGAACGGGTCTTGCCCTGTTTTAAATGTTCATGTCTTGAGGTCACCATCGCCAGCCACCCTCTGACAGCTTTTATACTGTGTCTGGCTTTTCACCTCCTTGCAACTGGTTTCAGTGTGCTGTCCTCATCATGAGGTGTCCTATCTGGGAGCCCAGGTTTTTATTCTTTTATTATTCCACAAACACTGTCATCATTCATGAGGAGACCACCCCCCCATCCCATAATGCTCTGTAGTCTACTGATAGTCTCCCACAAGGATTTGAGGAAAGAAAGCCCAGAGCTGGGTGCAGCTCAGTGGCACAGTATATGCGTGGCTTGCATGAGGTCCTGGGTTTGATCCTCAATACCACTACAAAAAAACAAACCAAAACAAACAAACAAACAAACAAACAAAAACAAGTCAAAGAAGCAAATTAATAGAAAGATATAGTTTTAAGTAACATGGATCTCTGAAAACACTGTTTTATGGATGAAAAGCCTATGAGATTCACTGAAATGGAGAAACTGTGAAATAAAGATGCCAGTGAACTAAGACATCTTTCCCATAAAACATGCTGGTATCCTCTGCATACTTCTCACAACTTACTTAGTTTTAGTTTATATTCTCTCTCTCTCTCTCTCTCTCTCTCTCTCTCTCTCTCTCTCTCTCTCACTCTGACACAGGGTCTTATGTAGCTCTGGCTGGCCTTGAACTCAGCATGTAGTCAGGAAAGATTACCCTTGGACTTGTGATCCTCCTGCTTCTTCCTTCCTGGGTGCCATGAAGACAGACCTTTAATAAAGGCCATTGACTCACGTGAGACAACAAATTCATGACCAGCTATGTCCCTATAGCTGAGAAGAACCATGTGTAAGGAGCCAGTAACATTAATGTAAACAGAAATGGGTCAAGAGTTACTGGCTGCTGGCTTGGTTATTGGAAATGGGGTCCTCTTTGTGCAAAATGAAGTAGCTTGCTAATTCATTGCTCGCCCTGGGCAGTGCACTCTCAGGACTGTGTGGGCTAAATGGCTTCTTGGAGATTCTCTGATGCTGGAGCAGCTCCTCTTTTGATGGTGGCTTCAGAGGTAGTGTGGGGTAACAATGTCTATTCTGAGAGAATGCCAAGGTATTCCACCCACAGGTAGAGCTCTCACCCACGAAAACAGAGAGCCTCATCCTCTCTCTGCTCAGAACCTCTCTCCACCTTCATTTACCCAAGGAAGACAGCATCTTCCTGATGTTTGGGGGGCATCGGGGTTCAGGATTAGGAACATGATACTGCCCGGATTTTATGCACCTCCTCACACCTAATGGCTTTCCAATCACTAATAAACATCTGCAGAGAAGCCCTTAGTGACAAGTAATCCCTTATCTGGGTTTCTTTTAATAGAATCCAACAATCTCTACACTGAACCCTCGAGTCTCCTCAGCATCAGGTGCAACAGTCAATCAAGTCACTGGAATGCAAGACAATGCAGGCGGCTGGGGGCGGGGAGGGGGGAGGCCAGGCCTTTGGACATGCCACAGGGGAAAAACAAAAGGCTCCCAAAGTCTTTGGCAGACCGAGGAGGCTATTGTGGGAGCTGCTTGGCTGGGAGTTCTTCAGGAGGGGACAGTGGAAACTTTGCTCTGATAAAAAGGCATCCCGGCCTAGGAGCCTCACCCCAAATAGTCTCGCCTTGACATTTAGAAAACAGACTCATGATGAGGTACTTGAATACACCAGCCATTCTGAAGGGAGACGACCAAGAAGCACCTACCTACTTACTCCATCCATTTGCTCTTGCTTACTGATCTGAGTGAGCCAGTGGCTTGTGGGCTTCCAGAGGAAGAAAGGAGTTCACATCTGCTTAGTCCACAGCTGGACGGCACACACATGCAGTGGGCTGGGTGGGGATGTTTTGTGCGCTCACTCTCGCGCTCTCTCTCTCTCTGTTTCTCTCCTCTCTCATAGGATTGAGTGGCAAAGATATCCCCCTCCTGTCTTCCTCCTCCTCTTTCTAGTTGCTTTACCTTCAAGGATGATTTGTTTTATTAAACTGGCTGTCCCCAGTCTCTGCAGTCCATAATGAAAGCCTGACATAGCAGGCTGCCTGCCTTCTGTGTCCTGCAGACACTCATCATAAGTGTCAGGACATACCAAGGTTAGCGGTCACTGGAAGTGTGCTCGCTGGCCCAAACCTTGCCAAACGCACTTGGCAGCTGAATGAATGTCACAGAGAATAGAGGGGGAATTACAAAGGTTAAAAAGAAGACAGTCTCTCCTATTTTCTGGAGACAGAGAAGCTGACTTTTCACACCTCTGAAGCATCCCTCAGCTCACTCACTGGCCTCTTGCAGAGAAGGGGGGGGGACCATAACCGTGCCCTTTGCTCAGGTCCCCGTGGACAGTCCTCCATTCTTGTTCCCCTTCAAAAACTGGCCCACTGGCCTCAGCTCACCAATGGAATCATCCTTACCGAAATGGAGAGAAAACAAGCCGAGCATTGCCCCCACCCCCACCCCCACCCCACAGCCCTTCCCCAAGAACCACCACCCAATGGCCGTTCAACTTATCAATAGATTCCAATCTTAGTAAGGAAGATGTTTTTTGACACTTTTATCTTTTAAGCTAAGCTCCCCCGCCCCCACCCCAAACTTCAACAAATGGAAGGCCAGTGTCAGGATGACAGGGATGGCTGAGAGGGGAGAAAAGAGAGCCCTGCTTGTATTTTGGTGAATCTGTTAGTTCGTTAGTGTGTGGGTTTTCTTTCTTCTTCCTCCACCCCCCCCCTTTTTTAATACTATAAAAGGGCAATAAAATGCTGACTTCGAGAAGACAATGTCAAGGAGAAAAGGGTGCTGGTATTTTGGATACTCTTCACTGCTCGCCTTG